GTCACTTGTGTTGAGACAAACGACTTATCAGTGTGATTTAAGCCAATTAGGTTTGATTCAAGAGAATATAATTGGTGTCATTTTTCAGGATTTTGTCGGTACATAAAACTTGGGGGTTAGAAACTTCAGATTTTACTTTGTCACAGTGAGTGGTACAACATTTGTAAAACACTTCCTTTCAGGCTCTCACAAACTATGTTTTGTCTCTGTGTTAGTAAGCATAGTTAGCATGTTTCCTTATTACGCTTTCTAGCTTGTTAGCTTTAATGAGCATTGCTAGTACGTTATGGCTTGCTAGTAACAATGCTGACTACTGTGTGGGTAGTAAAGGCACGGTCGATTGTCAGTCACTTCAAGCTGACATATTATTTTAGTATCCCAACATTCACAAAAGACAGAATTTAGGCAATTATCGGTAAGCAATACGAATAAGGTTAGCATTTAGCAGCAATTATTATCAACTAGCATTTTTTAGGTGCTAACATTATCTCCTATTGGTGATGGGCACAGTTTTCAGAGTTTGCATAACCTACCCACAGCTAGTAATTTTCAGACAGTAGCAATTTAGTCTTTTCTGAACCCATAAGAAGTAGTTACAGTTTTGGTATGGTGCTATTCAGTACAAAAGTTTTCAACCCACCTACTGAGTGGTGACCTGGCCATCAGGTGTTCCTAAACAGGCCATTTGAAGACCAGACACACGGGTCAAATAAAAGTGAGGTGTTTGTCAACTGTTATGCCGTAGTCGTGTTTGTGCTGCTCAAACAGATCACTTAGGCTCTGTAAGTAAACGGCGTGAAGTCTGTCAATGTCCTCATTGCTAGGACTGCAGATCTGGGACACAGGAATTGGTTTCCCAACTGAAAACAAATATGCAGACAAATACGTCTGTTAGTGGATGTTAACTTGCAAACCATCCATCCATCCATTTTCATCCGCTTATCAGTTACCGGGTCGCGGGGGTCAGCAGTCGCCACCCAAATCACATTGCACCGTACCAACCCCCCAAACCTTCCTGTGGGTGGTGAGTCCACTGGAAGGTACCAACTGCCCTAACTGGGATTCGAACTTGCCCAGGAGGTGAACCCTGGGGTTCCACACCAATGACAGAGACACTGCCTCTGGGCCAGCTTATGCTAATTAAATGTAAATTTATTAAATTAAGTTTTTTCGCTCTATTTACTATTTACAAAATTAGCATTTTTACATTAGTTTGACAAAAGAAAACTAGACAATGTAGCCCAGAGGTTTATAGCCAGTGGGCCATAAACTTCATCATGTTTCATTAACTACACTCGTGCTGTAGACTGTAGATAATGTTAGCATATTCTTTCTATCAACATTGGACAACTGTTGTCACCAGATACTCAGATATGACATGGCAGTCGATTTGATCATTTTCAGCACACTCATGTCAACGCTAATGCTAACGAAACAGATTTATGTGTCGTTAGGCCAGGCCGGCAGGATGTTATCGTTCACCGATAGATCAGTTGACAGCGTGTTCTCTTTTTTTTTTTTAAGCACGTTTTTCAAGTTTAATTCTGTAAATATCCCATGTTACGACGTGGACAGCCGCAGTTTATAGAATAGTGCGGCATATATATGTACAATTATTTATTTTTTTATTTATTTAGTGGGTGCAGCTTATATTCAGGTGCGCTCAATAGTCCGTATTTGTCCACCCGTTATGCATCCAATTCCCATGCGAAATGTATTTTAAGGACGCATGTCAGAATGATGGAACAAGACTTTCTTAATAGATTTATGGGAAATGATGACATAACCACAGAACGCCATAGATCGAGGACGTCATACACCAAGGACCCCCCCCCCCCCGAACATGTTAACTGTAGTTAAAAATGTGATTTTGAAGACGTTGCTTTCTTTTCTTTTGTTCACTATCTCATAGGGCAAAAAATATTGAGATGTGATAATGATATTGCAATGATTTCTTTCAATATTATGCGTCCCTTGGGCATGTGGTCTTACCAACGGTGTGTATAGATGTTCTGTAAGGCATCAGGCCAAAGCTGTATTGGAAAACTCCTCTGGCATGAAACAGCGGCATTGCTACTCCCATGACGCTCTGCAGCCGGTTCTGTGGACAGACGACCATATGCTGACGTCAACGTAGCCCATCCTAGCATACCGTGGACATCGCGTGCGCAAACGCACACAAACAACTGACCTGCAGCGTCCTCAGAGGGGATCCTGTGGGATTATCCATTTGATCGAACAACTCGTTTTCGCCAAAAGAAAACACAGGAACTAGCTGAGCTCTGGAAGTGAAAGTGAACTACCTGTCATTGTGACCCAGCACACCACTGCACACAACCAAATGTGACCTCTGCTTTTAACCCATCACCAAAGTGAACAGTGGGCAGCTTTAAGCACCAGGGGAGCAGCTGGTGAAGCCTTCTGGTGGAACCTGAAGTTCGTATTTGTTCCACCAATTTGTTCCACCAATCGTATTTGTTCCAAGTTAACATCCACTAACAGACGTATTTGTTCCACCAGAAGTCTTCCAGACCCAAGTCCGCTTCCACTAAGCCACCACTGCCTCTACTCACACATATGCTCACTCATATGCAAATACATACAATACATATATACATAAATAAATAAATACATAAATAATAAATAAATAAATAAATAAATTTAAATAATAATTAAAATAATAATAATAATAATATTATAATATAATAATATAATATAATATAATATAATATAATATAATATAATATAAGTCCTAAAATCTTCTAAAAATGTTACTTTCTTGCCATCTAGTGGTAAATGCAGGTGGTCCACTACATACACTATGCTTTCTTCGGTGCGCTTTTTTTCCTCACTTGTGGATATTTTCAGTTTGTTTTACAACGAACCGTTGTATATACATAAATCAGTAGCAGTGACCACAAGTAGCATAACAATAGATAAATAAATACATAAGTGGTACAGTAACTGTACCACTTATAGACCTATAGTGACTATTTGAAATATTATCCACCCACCCATGCTTGAGAGCCAGTTTAATAAAACCCTTTCTGTTTCGAACCTGAAAAGAGAAAACATAACATAAGCAAGCAAAGTTATTATGACTTATGGGAAGACGCACACTCAATGAAGACTACCTGTAGCTTTAAAGCCCCTGGCCGGGCATCCAGAGATTCAGGTGCTCCTCCTACTGCAATGACAGCAACATTGCCTCCATCAGGATGACTGACCAGGTAGGACAGACTTTGCTTAGAGCTAGAAACAAGCCCTGAAAGACAGTGAGACAGACAAACAAACATGTTGTGAAGTCATCACAAAAACGTAGCAAAAGTGAGTTAGAGAGACGTCACCTCCACACATGATGTAATCCCTGAACACTGGTACTCTGAACCAGAATGGCAGCATGAGCAGGTGAGACTTCAGTCCTGGAAAAAGACGAGAGAAACCCGTCGACTCCGTACAGAAGTTTGCAAAGGCACCAGCAACCAAGACTCCTGAGAGACAGACAGGTGGTGGATTTAAAAAAAAAAAAAAACAACAAAACAAAATCAACAGGCAGTTCTGAATGAAGGGATGAAGAGAGAAACACACACACTCGCATTCTGCATACATATTTAAATTCTCTCTCACACACACATATATATTTATTTGTGTA